GCCATGGGATCACTGATGGGCTGATGGTGACTGTCCTGGCATGGGAGGTGGCCGTGGGGTCACTGGCGGGCTGGTGGTGTCTGTTCTGGCATGGGAGGTGGCTGTGGAGTCACTGGCGGGCTGGTGGTGTCTGTTCTGGCATGGGAGGTGGCCATGGGGTCACTGACGGGCTGGTGGTGTCTGTCCTGGCATGGGAGGTGGCTGTGGGTCGCTGATGGGCTGGTGGTGTCTGGCCTAGCACGGGAGGTGGCCGTGGGGTCACTGACGGGCTGGTGGTGACTATCTTGGCGTGGGAGGTGGCTGTGGGGTCACTGATGGGCTGGTGGTGACTGTCCTGGCATGAGAGGTGGCCGTGGGGTCGCTGATGGGCTGGCGGTGTCTGTCCTGGTGTGGGAGGTCACTGATGGTGTCTATTCAGGTATGGGAGGTGGCCAAGGCAAGAGAGGGCTTTGCCTATGCCAGCTCAAATAGCCCTTCTAATTTTAACGTTAAGAAAACTGAATCCCAGAGAGAAGAGTGAGGTCCCGAAGGTGAGCCCAGTTTGGTATGAGTTGAGAAAGAAGGAAGAGCATGGCATCCACTCCAGGACGCGCCATAGCACGGGAGACGAAAACGTCTCCAACCCGAGCTCTGCACGTGCAGAAGAGGCAGCGGATCTCGTACAGCCTGGGCCTTCCCACCGCCCCAGTAGTTACTATGTTGCAGGGAGCTGGGTTCAATATGAAGGAAACGGTCAATAGCTCTTTCAATATCCTAAACCCCTGCAGGCCGCCAACAGCACATTCTGCAGGGTATTTTCGATTCCCTTAGACAAAAAAAAAGAGAGAAAGAAATTGCTTAATATGAAACTAAAAATGAGATTAATATAAAGATTTTTAAAGTTTATTTTGCTCTGACTAGGACCCCAATAACTGTATGTATCTGTGAAATAAATGCAGCCCCGGAGTATTATTTCATGAAGCACGGGAGTCCTCTAAATTCCTCGCCAGCCCCAGCCCTGTGAAAAGAACAGAATTCAAGAACCGCAAGAGTGTGCGCATGGAGGGGCAGCCGGCCGGTCACAGGGCCCTTTGTATGACTGCACATACTTTGGCTTGGGGCAGAGAAAACGCTTTTGCCAAAAGGGTTATTATGACCTGAGCCATGATTCATGTGAGTGCTTCCCGGGAGGGGTGTTTTATTATGATTTCTCAGCTCTCAGCTCCTTCTTGCCCCTGAAGTGGGGCTGGGCTGCATTCCTGCAATACTGGGCTGTTCATAAAACACAAACGGTCCATTCACTGTGCCCCAGGGGCTGCTGGAGGATGACTCCTGCCTCCCAGCCTGGCCCTCCAGCCACAGTCCTTGCCCCAGGGGAGCTGGCCTGGGGGTCCCTAGAGTGAGCCTGGTTGCAGCGGCCGCATCCTGGCATCAAACCTCTTTTCCATCTGTTCTAGGTGGCCGACCTTCCACAGTCACAGAAAGCAGCCTTTGTGACTGGCACTGCAGGACCCCCATTCCATAGGAAGGAAGGAGGCCACCCCTGTACCGGGTCCCAGGACGGTGCACATGCATGTGGTCAGGTCCCCTTCTGTGTGTCCTGGCTGTGCTGACTGCACCATCGGGCTGGCTGCTTCCGCCTCACTCAGCCCCCAATGATGTCAAAGAAGGACACAGACCTCATGCTAAGAAAGGAATCTTACTCACAAGTAAGGGCTGCGGGAGGGTCCACCTGGAGAAAGATGGCTCACCAGTAAACATACGCCAGGCACTTAAGATGAGACACAGGCATCCCACAGCTAGCAGGTTTACAGCAGGTCTGTTCCTGCCTTTTGGTAGAAAAAGGGCCATTTTTAACATGGTTCTCCTACCTGGACAGTCAAAGCCAACATTCCTATACCCAGCATTGCAGGAGTCAGAGAAGCTTACAGGAAGTGTTACAGGTTTCTTTATTTGGGGGGAGCTGACACCCTAGAAGCTGCATACCCTCCAGCCTCACCCACCTCCACAACCCTCATCTCTCCGCCACACAGGAGCGAAGGGAGACCCACTTTCTTCCTGAGGCCAGAACCCTCATTCAGGAGCCCAGAGCCCAGTGGGAAGGGACTCCTGTGTGTCTGTGGGCTCTGGGGAAGCTGAGGCGACTCCCTCAAACTCTGCAGATCTCTCCAGAGATGAGGGCTTGATCCAGGAAACATGACCCCTAGCTAGCTGGCCCAGGAGGAGGCTGGAACACAGCGTCCTCCCCTAGGGAGCTGGCCCTGACTCTCTTCATCAGGACCAGACCCTCCCAGGAGACACCGAGCAGCACTGCCCCTCGCCCAGCCCAATCTCACCCTCAGACCTGCACATCCCACACGGCAGCCACTGGCCACAGGAGGCCACCAGGCACACGAGATGAGGGAGCCATCACAGAGAGGCTACCAGTGTCAAAAGCACACCATATGCCAAAGACTCAGGACACAAAGGAAAGCACAGTATCGCATTCTCAATTTTATAGTGATCATAGATTGAGAAACAATTTTAAACAGAAGGTCTAATAGAATACATCATTAGAGTGGGTTCCCCTGGGTTTTTTACTGTTTTAATGCAGCATAGACACAGTAAGAAGAAGCCACAGCAGCTGCCGTTAGCAGACATGGCCTGGGTTTGTGTGCAGTGTCCGCCACTGCCCCAGGCCGTCCCGGCCACACTCAGCTCTGTACTCACCCCCCAGCTCGGCACAGAGCACCTGCCCCTGCTGGCAACTGGGTCCAGAAGGTCAGAAACTCCCTGAAGTGAAGAGTGGCCTCGGGGAGCCTGGATCCCAGGCCTTGTGTCCAGCTGTCCTCCTCCCTGGGACAGTCCCTTGGTCAGCCCCTCTCCCGGTACCCTTAGGGACCCACCTTTCCCCAGTCCCCTTGCTGCCAAGTTCCTCCCATCCCCCTGCCTCCCCTTGATCAGAGAAACAGGAGCCACCACTGGACCCCTCCTGGGTGGCCCCTTGAGGACTTGGCCTTGTCTGGAATTTCCCTGGACTCTGTAGGGCCACCCCTCCCTTAGTGCAGGGCTTGGAGGGCTTCCCCCACCAGGCCTCCAGACAGCACCCCACTCACTCCATCTCTACCCCTCGCCCTGCTTTCTAGCTGTTAACCCCATCTGATCATAAATCTGCACTTATTTCTCATGAAGCCTCTGTCCTTCCACTAAAGCTCCCTGCAGGCCCAGATTTCCACTGTCCTTCACAGCCTGGGAGACGAACAGCGAGAGCCCCACATGTCCCCACGTCCCCACGTCCCCACGTGCAAAGGTGCCTGCATCTCAGAGGCTGAGGGGCTTTTCTGCCGCAGACCTCCACCCAAATTCGCCAGTCTGCCTAAGCTCCACCCACTCCCCTCCCCACCTCCATGCTTCCCCTGCCCGGGGCCTGCCCCCAGCCCACTCCGGGTCTCAGCCCTCTCCCCGTGTCTGCCTCTGCGGCCTTCTCCTCCATCCTCGTGTCTTCTGAGCAAAGCTGGCTACACGACGGTGACCCAGGGTCCACCCACTCCCTGTGTGCTCTGTCTGGGAGCTCACTGATGTCCACAGCTGAGCACCTGGGATCCTGAGGAGTGCTTTTGAGGGGATATTAAACTGGATCGGGGTGGGCACATCATCGTGAGCTTACAGGACAGGCTGAAGTCGGCAGGTGTTTCAAACCCTGCCCTGGCTGTGGCTCCTCCCACCTGGACAGACAACGACAGCTCTCCAAAAGCTGTGGTCCTCATCCAGGAGGACACCAGCTGCCTCCAGGGTGCCTGGGCCAGCACCACCCTCACAAGAAGCCAGGAGTCCACTCCAGACCGATGGCCACACAAGACCCTCAGAGGGCCAGGGGAAGGGTGGGGACAGGCTCACAGCCTCCTTCTTTCCGTAATGTCCCTGCCATTCTGTGGAGTGTTGGGATCTGCCACCTCCTTGACACCCTCTTCCTTCCTGCTGCGTGGAGAAGCAGCTCACCTGTTCCCAAGGTGCCAGTGAGCACACACAGGTCAATAAGTTCACAAAAAATCCACACTCTAGCCTCACTGCCTCCCATTGTTCAGGACCAGCCTGGTCCTCTGGAGCGAAGGCACCCGGATGTCCCATGGGCACCACAGCAGGACCAGCACGCCATCCTCCATCGTCCCCCAGATCTGATCCTCAGCAACACCCTCTCTTCTGTCTGCTTTGCCATCCAGTCTAGAGCCTTCTCACCTTCAGCACCTCTCAACCCTCAGCCAGCCAGTCCCCAGCCCTGCTCACTTAGCTCCTGTGTATTTCTGGAGTCCCCTGTCCAGCCCTCCTTGCCTTGCCCTAACCCAAACCTCGATCTCACCCCAACTGCGGTAGCCTCTCCCCATCTCTCGCTCCTTTTCAGAGCCTCCTACCCAAAGGGTCTCACAGAGACTTATGTTAATGATAAGGCACCGTGAAAGTTGTCAGAAGCAAAATGGATTTCCTTGTGTTTAAAAAAAAGCCCTGACACATAGAGCCAGGGAAAGCCATGGAAAGAGGGTTCCCATGCCCAAATCCCTGATAACAAAAACTATCACAAAAGACTGCAAAAACCACCACCGAGGCCAGGCGCAGTGGCTCACACCTGTAATCCCAGCACTCTGGGAGACCCAGGAGGGTGGATCACTTGAGGTCAAGAGTTCAAGACCAGCCTGATCAACATGGTGAAACCCCATCTCTACTAAAAATACAAAAACTTAGCTGGGTGTGGTGGCACATGCCTGGAATCCCAGCTACTCAGGAGGCTGAGACAGGAGAATCACTTGAACTCCGGAGGTGGAGGTTGCAGTGCGCCGAGATGACGCTACTGCACTCCAGCCTGTGTGACAGGGCAAGACTCCGTCTCAAAAAAAAGAAAAAAAGAAACCCACCATCTTGCACAAAGGCTGTCACCACCTTGCACACACAAAAAAACAATTATGTGAGGACATCTGCCCAGCAACCGCCTGACCAACCTTGGACTGGCATCATCCTTGTGATTGATCTTTGTAGCCACAGATAATTATCTCAAAACAATTACATAATCCTCCTCACTTTAGTGACGCTGTGTTCCCCTCCCTGAGTGCGCATACGGCTTCCTACGGCACACGTGTCCCATTGTAGCACTCTATTTCCAGAAACATTCCATTTTCTTTCAGAGTCTCTCTGTTATTTAGGTTAACAGGACCTGGCACTATTTGGGTTATACCATTCTATGAGCTCCCATTCACCCACAGGATAAACGTCCAATGTGTAGTTGGTTTTTTAATTAGAAACAAGTCTCTCAATATCTCAAGTCAAGAATTCACTACAAATCTATCAATAAGACTTTGTCTTACTTGAACGTCCTCCTCGCTAAATAAGCTCAGATTGCCCCAGGAATGAGATTCATCAGTGAGAAGAGACGTTCTCTGCAAGGAACCAGTGGTGAGAAAAGGCCCAAGGCTTAAGCTCCAGCACCTTCCATCCAGACACCGTTCTCCAAGTACACACTTGGCTACTTACGCCGAATCATACAGACTAGCACCCACCACCTCTCATAGGAGCAGCAGAGAGCAATGTTCTTAAAACCTGCATGAAGAGAATCCATGACTGAAAGATATTCCATGCACAAGAAAAGGTCTTCTAAGTTTTCAGTCCACATCCTGGTGGAAAGAACAAGATCTGGACTGACACCCAACGTGAGAGCCCTTAGGATGGGCTGCCTGGAAGGTCCAGCCCTTTACCATAACAACTAGGAAACTGAGGTTCAGAAAGGGCCGCAGCCTTCCCAAGCCAGCACAGCTGCCTAGTGGCAGAATCGGAGGTGCAGCTGGGGTTTGAGGGTGATTCCCTTTTTTCCTCTATTTTATTGGGTTTTTTAGTAATATAGGTGCGAAGGAGAGTGGAAGAAACTAGAATGTAATACTCATCTGCTTTTGCTCAGTGTGGAGCAGGGGAAGGAGGACGCCGAGGAGGAGGAAGCAGAGGCAGACATGCAGGCAAAGTAGAACCCGGTTCTCTGACTTGCATGGATATGCGGTAGGGGTAATATCCAGGCACATATTTGAGAGGTGGTAGGACAATGAGCTGGGACGTGGAGACTCTGCTGTGCATGAATCAAAACCAATGTTCCCAGGAGTGGCCCAGTCTAGGAAAGGGCTCACCTGGCCTTTCTATGTCATCACGCAGGGTCTCTCCCTCCCTTTGACCACCAGGTGACAGAAAAGCCCTTCTGTGAATATGAGGTGGGCAATTGTATATTTCCCCATGAGAATGTCACTAGAGGGACAGAGAAGAGCAGAGGATCTCGTGAGAGCTGCAGGCTGAGCACGAGGAGTTTGCGAGTCAGCATCCTGCACATGTTTGATGCGTGAATGAATGGCATGGGAGCATCCAGGAGCCCAAACGACACCACTGTTCCCTAGAGGCAAATGGCACGGATTGTCCTTGTGACCGCAATAATGAGAGGAGAGCCAAAGGGACCCTTCTCTTCAGCCACGTGGCCTCAGCCTGTGTTACAGACAGACGAGCACACAGGAGCAGAAACGCAGGCATGCGGAGAGAGGGCCAAGGCTCCGGGGACTCTGCAGGTCTGGCCACCTCTGACCACCTCCATATTTCATCTTCAGAATACACTGACCCAGCCTCCCTCCTGTGCAGCCCAGAAAAGGAAGTGCAATAAAAGAGGCTAAGGTCGTTTTCAGCTTCCTTCTGCGTCTGGAAACTTCATCCCTGCCTCCCTTCCTAGGGAGGCGATGGTTCAGGTTAGATGAGCAGAGACAAGAAGCCTGCGGCCTGCACGGGCTGCCAGGAGAGCAGAGCCTGCACCTCGCCCACCTGCATGCTCACCTCCTGCGCTTTCCCTATCTGCTTGAACACTTAAGCAGACCTTCTGGGAGGGACTTCTGGTATGAAAAACCTGGCATGAGAAACAGTCATTGGATCAGCTAAAAGTCAGAGCAAAACAGGAATGGGGACGCGCAGGTTCCGTTTCTCAGGTATTAATTGTGCGAAATACACAGGGTTGCAATTGTTCCGTTCCTTTCCTTGCAGCAGCCCTCCCAGGGCTGAATGAATGCAAACATACAAAGCTGCATGGGAAATTCTGGCCAGAATATTTACACAGAGGTTCATGAGCAAAGAGCCACGCTATCTATCGCTCAGATCTGTGGCCACTGCCCCGTTGTGTCCTTGCTCAGATTCATTTCAGCTTTAACGCAGCCTTCTGCTCATTCTCATTTCTTTAACCCAATTACTCTGTAGCACTTGATGAAACAACATTGCATTTTAATTTTTCTGACTATCAAAGAAATTTCTGTGGACATTAGCTTCTAGGAAGATGAAGTAGACATATGTTTCCTTTTCCTCTGCTAAGTACAACTAACAGCCCCGGACATTATACATAAACCAAACATGATAGCACTCTGGATTGGGTGCTGTGGCTTGCACCTGGAATCCCAGCACTTTGGGAGAGTGAAGTGGGAGGATTGCCTGAGCCCAGGAGTTCAAGACCAGCCTGGGCAACACTGCAAGACCCCACCTCTACAATAAAAATTAGCCAGGCATGGTGGTGCACACCTGTAGTCCTAGCTAGTTGGGAGCTGAAACAGGAGAATCACTTGAGCCCAGGAGTTCCAGGCTGCAGTAAGCTATGATCATGCCAGTGTATTCTAGCCTAGGTGACACAGCACCCATGGTCTTTCCCCTGTGAGCATACGGAGAGGCACAGAGAGAGAGAAAGACCTCCCCTGTCTCCTCCTCTTCTTAGAAGGGCACAAATCCTGTTGGATCAGGGCCCCGCCTTTATGAACTTATTTAACCTTATAACCTCCTCATAGGCCCCATCTCCAATACAGTCAGATGGAAGGTTAGAAACTCAATATATGAATTTGGCGGAACACAATTCAGTCCATAACAATGTTACCCATCAAAAGGGGTTCACTGCCTATGTCAGTCTGTTCTTGTGTCACTATAAAGCAGGGATATCCAATCTTTTGGTTTTCCTGGGCCACACTGGAAGAATTGTCTTGGATGACACATAAAATACACAAACACTAACAATAGCTGTTAAGCATTTAAAAAAAAAAGTTCGCTGCATAATTTTTGTGATATCCGCCACCACAGATAAGCAAAACAGTCACCCTAACAATGTGCTGCCCCATTCAGAGGCTCTTAAAAATCGTCGAGCAAGTCCCAACTTTGCAATCACTTGATATAGAAAATGTGCCTAAGTAATAAGACATCATTAATTTTTTGATATTTTCTCTTACAAAAGTAAAAGAAAAGAGGACAACGTAAAACTAGTGGGGTATTTGACTTGTTTTTGAGAAACTAACGCATCCATATCTCTTAAATGCGTCAGTTTTGATGGCACATTTGCTACCACACAACTCGCAATTCTCAGCAAGTTCTCAAGCTGCTCATCAGATGTTTTGGTTCTAATTTTACTCTTCGTGTGCTTCATCCTTGAAAGTAGTTGCTCACAAATGCACACACACCACACACAGCATATACCACAAACACCACTGTGGTGCTGCCAAAAAGAGATGACATGAGTAAGGCATGATTGGGAAGCGAGGGGTATTTGTCTCTGGGAAGGCAGGTCTTATAAAAGTCCAGTAAAGAAGCAAGATACAACTTTTCTTTAAGTAGGATGTCACATTGCAGCTCTATGCATTCCATTTGAAAACTGGCAGGTAACATATTAATGTCTGGTGAAAATGGAGTTGCAAATATACCAAAATGTTGATTATTTTTCCAGAAATCTTAAAATCTGTTTTCAAATTCCTATATCAAATCAAAAGGTAAGGTGGAATATTTTTTGCTGTTGACAAGACATTGTGTTTAGCCAATGTGTTGAAATGTGCACAATTGTTTGTCTTAATTTGAGCTTGCCATAATTTCAGTTTCATTGCAACGCTGCTATGGTTTGAAACGCTGTATTGATAAGCTGGTTTTCACCTTGAAGATTCATATTTAACTCATTTAAATGAGCAGTGAAATCCACTAAAAATGCTAAATCTGTAAGCCAGTTTTCATAGTCAAGATCCAACACAAATTTTGTTTTTGATACCATAAAGAACTTGATTTCATGTCGCAAATCATAAAACCTTTTCGACATTTCGCCTCAAGTTAGCCATCTTACTTCTGAAAAGTCAGTAAGGCTGCCATAGTCAGCATCCATACTTTTAAGGAATTCCTGGAATGGGCGATGATTCAGTCTCTTGGCCCCTATGAAAGCCACGGCCTTGATGACAATTTGCATGACGTTATCCATTTTTAAAGCTTTTGTGCATAAATTTTCTTGATGCACTATGCAATGATACTTCATCAAACGTGAGTTTTGGGCGGCAACTACATGGTCTTCTATTAATTTTACAATTCCCTCTCTTTTACGTCCCATCACTGGGGCGCCAGCGGTAACTACACCAGATACACTCACAACAGACAAAGAAAGTTGCTTTAATGCATCTTTTACTGCTTCATATACATTTCTTGATTTAGTTGTGTCTTTTAATGGCACTAAAAAAGCCATTTCTTCAGCAACATTATGGTCGCCATCAATACCTCTAATAAAAACGGCAAGTCGTGCCGTATCTGTGGCACCCGTGCTTTCATCCGTCAGCAA